GCTTCAGCTCTTGAGGCAGAAAACCATAAAGGTGAGTCTAAAATGTTGCCCTCCCACTCATCCTCCAAGAGGGCCTTGACTGGTGTCCAGCTGGAAAATGCGAATATGTCCCTGAATTTGATAAAAATGATCACTCAGTGAAGTATTCATGGGATTCCAACTGGACACCAGGCACCAAAGCCCAGGGCTAGGGCAGATAATGGAATCACTGGAGGAATATTGAAAGTGCCAACCCCACAATGTTGGGTTCAATGGTCTGGATAAAGGGTGCAGTGCTGGATGGGGACACCTGGGCTACACCTGGCAATCTGGGGCTGGCATGAAATGGTAGATAGGGACACTGTCCATGATCTTGCATATGTTAGGCATGTATTCTCCCTCTAGCTCCCTGGCCCAATAAGTGGATTTTCCCTGAGAAGAGGCTGAGTCCACCCCTGGTTTTGGGTGGGGCAGGGGGTGGGTAGGGGCTATGTCCTCCACTGCTAGCCAGCTCCACTGTGCTGAAGCATGTGAATGAAGAGGCACGGTGACATTCCACTGAGACTTATGCAGGTCAGGGCTGGGGAGACATGTGGGCTTGGGGATGCTGATCCTCTGAGTCTGGGGAGCCCAAATTTAGGGGGTGACAGAAGCTACGTCCTAAGGTTGGGTGAGTACTAGGCGTACTGTATTCTTGGGATAACGGAGTCTACGTTAGGGAGGACATGTCAGTGACAAATCACACTGCAAGTTGCAAACAGCATGACATGGAGCCTGATGGAGAAAACGACTCAATGGAGATTTGAAGTTGGGAATTTCATTTGGGACAATATTCTAGAAAACTCAAAGGACCAAAAATCTAAAAGCCTCAAAACTGGAAAAGTCTAGAAGCTGGGGAGGCCATTTTAAGTGAGAGAGTGATGCTGCAGGGTCAGAGAGATAGTAAGGGTTTCTCTTCTCTAGAGTGAGGAGAGAAGCCGCAGAAGGGAGACAGGGTCCATTGAGTGTGACCTGGAGATCACAGCAAGGGGTGGGGGTGGCGGGGGGCTGAGCAGAAGAACCATCTAGTGTTGGTTAAACTGAGGAGTGCAGTTGAGACGCGAACCCAGGGGAAAGCAGAAGAGCCACGTGGAGGAAATGGTTGAGTTGAGAAGGGCAGGTGGGGACTGGCTGCAAGGGGAAGGTGGGAAACTTTGCTGGTTCTATTTCTGAGTTTGCTAAAAGACCTCCTAAAAGGCATGGGCAAGATTATCATTGGCTTGTAGCTTTGGTTAGCAACAAGTGAGTCCAAAGTACGAAGTATGTGTCACTAAAGAAAAGTGAGAACAATTTGAACCAACTTCTATTTCGTGTTTTCAGCCATCCAGACCAACACATCATGGGACACCCCTATTGCTTCTGGGTTTGTAGTATTTTCTGCCTCTGTTCCAACTTCTCAGGATGAAGAGTCACCAAGTACATTCCAAGAAGTTTCTAGTCCGCTGAGTGGAACCAATGGGACCATTTGGGGAGGAGGGGTTGCGTATGCCCCACCTCCAAGAATGTTCCCCAACATGGTTCCACAGGGTCTTTGTGAACAAATTTTTAGCGAGAGAGTGATGCTGCAGGGTCAGAGAGATAGTAAGGGCTTCAGGTTCACAGCCTGTAGGCAGATGACCACAGCTCAATCAGGGTACCACACGATCCTCTGAGCAACACTGTGGGTAGTCCTGGAGACAGTGTCCTCCCCACAAACACATACACACACAGTAATTCTGCAGTTATGTGTGTGAGCACACCACAGTTCTATCAGAGACTCAAGTTGCATGGCAAATGGATACATACGAGCACTACTGCTATAAAACAATCTGCCCATGACCTTTCCTCCCCAGCCCTGACCAGGAAGTCTGAGCCCTTAGTCCAGTCACCTCTGGGTGGAGATGAGGGTGGGTGGAGCTCCCTGTGCATGGAGCAAAGCCAGTGGAACCATCTGGCAAGGAAACTGGGTGCGGGTATCATGAAGACCAGGCTGTGCGTGAAGCTGGCTCCCCCACTCCACCTTGTGAGAGAATTCTGTTGAAGAATGTGATGAAGAGTCCCCGTGGCAGAGCATAGGCTTAGTGCGTGAGGCCCTGGGCTCCATCCTGGTACCACAGCGCCCCGGAAGTATCAGGTATAGTGTGGTGTACCCCTGAGCACTGAGGGGTCCAGGCACCAAACTGCAAAGTCTTCACTGCTGGGTTAGACATTGTGAGGGGACTGTCTCTAGCCCATGCTCCCAGCACCTCTGAGTGTGGACCCCCCCACAAATAAGAAATGAATAGTCTTGAAATTCGTGACTTAAAATAGAGAGTACACATGGCAGTTACCTTATGTGAGGTTCACAGTAATATAATGGGGAATACCTTATCAATGACACAAAAGAACAGGAAGAGATCAAAGCAAATTTTACACTTCAAGAGACATCAAAATAATATAAAACAGACACCGTAACAGACACTATAAGATGCAAAAAGCAACTGATCTGTAAGAGAGAAAGTGGGGCCAGGAGACAGGGCAGCAGGTAGGGCACCTTCTTAGCATACACCTATCCTAGGTTCGGTCCTTGGCAGCACAGGGTCCCCAAGCATTGCTGGACACAGCCCCTGAGCACTGCAGGGCTGAGCAGCAGCATGACCCAGTTGGCCAACAATCTCTGTACACTGACTGAGAACTTCCTGAGCCAACAGGGAACCATCCCTGCAAAAGAGGCAGAAAATTCTAACCAAACACCAGTAGTGAGTTATTGGTTATTTCTTTAAGCAAATGTAAATTCTCCAATTAAAAAGCACACAACAATCTCTGTCCATTGACTGAGAACTTCCTAAGCCAACAAGGAGCCATCCCCACAAAAGGCAGGAAACTCTAACCAAACAGCAGTAGTGAGTTATTGATTATTCCTTTAAGAAAATACAAATTCTCCAATTAAAAAGCACACAATGACTATAAGACCTCATGATACACAATCTACGAAAGACTCACTTTAGGGGCGATAGTGCGGGAAGGGAGGGCACTTGCCTGGCAGGCAGCCCTGCCCAGGTTTGATTCCGGGAACCCCATTATGTTTCCTTGAATTCCGCCTCTGAGTGCAGAGCTGGGTGTACATCCCCTTTCAAAAGATCCCAAAGAACCACTTCAGTTTTCAAACCATAAATACATGAGAATGAATGGTGGATGGATGGAAAAGACTACTTTTACAGCAAATGGTAACAAGAAAGATAGCGGAATAGTAGGTAAAAGCAGCTATACTTAAACCAAACAACATGGATTTTTAAAGTGGTAAAAAGGGTCTGTAGCACTGTAGCACTGTCCTCCCATTGTTCATTGATTTGCTCTAGTGGGCCCAGTAATGTCTCCACCATGGTACTTGTCGTTACTGTGTTTGTCATATCAAATATGTCACGGGGAGCTTGCCAGGCTTTGTTGTGCAGGCAAGATACTGTCAGTAGCTTGCTGGGCTCTCTGAGAGGGGCGGAGGAATCGAACTCGGGTCAGCCACGTGCAAGGCAAATGCCCAGGAGTGATAGCACAGTGGGTAGGGCATTTGCCTTGCATGTGGCCAACCCAAGTTCGATTCCCAGGATCCCATATGGTCCCCTGAGCACCACCAGGAATAATTACTGAGTAATTCCTAGAGCCAGGAGTAACCCCTGTGCATTGCTGAGTGTGACCCAAAAAGAAAAAAAAAATCATTATATAGAACTTAAAAATTGAGTCAATCCAACAAAAATGACAACAATCATAACAATATGAGTAGCTCAATAAAGCAAAGAATAGCAGAAATCACAAATATTTATGAACCTTACACGAGTAGCTAAATAAAGCAAAGATGAATAGAGCTAAAAGGTAAAACAAAATTCAATATGCTATTAGTTGAAGATTGTAATCCCAAAGATGACATACAACAGCCAACAGATACATGAAAAAGTATTCAACACCACGACACTTTAGGAAAATGCAAAATAAAGCCACAATGTATGAACACCTCCAATCTCATGGAATGATCCATTATGTGCAAGAGAGAATTAACTTGGGCCACGATCTGGAGAAAGGGCACCCTGGTCTTCTATTGGTGATAATGTGAATGAATGCAGTCTACATGGAAAACAGCGATGCCTCCAACATTTAAAAGCAGAATAATCACATACGATGTAGCAATTCCACTTGTGGTGAAATAGCCACATATAACAAAAGCACATCGAAGAGAGATTTGCATCCCCCAGTTCATGGCAAAATTACTTACAATAGCTGAGATCCAGAAACTATGTGTGCTTCAACACAGATCATGCACACAGAAGTTGTTTGTACACACACACACACACACACACACACACACACACACACACACACACTCTTTACAAAACATCGTTATTTGGGCATAAAAACAGGGCCTCTGCCATTACAAAAAAGCACAGATGAATCTTGATGAATTATGCTATGTGAAATATCTCAGAGAAGGACACATACAGATCGAACTGAGCTATTTGTGGCATCTAACAGGAAGGCCTAACTAAAAACCAAGCAAATTGGATGAAGGTGACCAAAAGCACCAGTTTCCAGCAACCCAGACAATTATTAGTTAATAATTAATATGTTACAATTAACACTGACTATACTTAATACTGCTCTATAAAATGTTTGAAATTTGGTGAGCATCCACCCTTAAGATTTTTATTATTAGCAAAAACTTAATTTTGGTATCGATAAGATTCTGGATGTAAGTGTTATGTGGTCATCACTTCATAGGTAAGGCATAAATATGCTGAACATTTTAAATTTACAGAATGATTTGTGTTAATTTTATCTTAATACACCTGGGAGAAAGCTCCTTTCGAATGCAGATACTCTGTTAATCCAGATATCAAGCAACACAAATGAGTATGTGGAAAGCTGTGAAGACATACATTAGCAAGAAAGCAGGGGAAAAAACCCTATCCTGATACTTTGTTTTGAATTAAAAATATCTTCAGGATTGCATAATGCATCAATGATTTTATTTTGAAAAAAAGCATTTCATATTTTCTGATTACAAAAGTATAGCATGTTCATTAGAGAAAAATTTAAGTACAAAGTGAAAAAAAATTAAAAAAATCTTCATGCACCATACAGAGATAATTCATCAATCATAAAATTCATCCATTTCATTTCTCTATGTATCCGTATCACAGATTCATTTTTACATGACCGAGAATATTTTCTCATTCAAAAATAGTCTTGTGTTTTTGTTTAAATAGATGAAATGATCATCTTCTTTTACCTTTGGATAAAGCTTAACTCTCTCTTGGTTCTTGGACCACCCCTGGTTGTGCTCAGGGCTCTCTCTTGACTCTGTACTCAGGGATCAGCTCCTGGCCAAGTTTGGAAGGACCACAGGGTTGAACTTGGCTGCATGCAAGACAAGTGCCCACTCACTGTATGATCTCTCTAACCTCCTGCTCAACACTTTTTAATGCCTGAGAAATGTCCCCTGTGAGGATGGAAACACAACGAACCCTTCTTCCATTGGCGGGTGCTTGGCGTCTCCCATTTCCATTGAGCATACAATGGCACGCAGACGATTTGCAAGCGTAACTTTGTGAACATGTGAGCATTTCCTCAAGGTAAGATCCCAGAAATACAAATGCTGGGTCAGAGTGCTCATGTTTTAGGTCGTGGTACATAGAAAATGTTTATCACCTTTCTGAGGGGGTGGAATTTCATCTTTCCCACAGCAGTGTGTAAGAAAGAGCTCACAGAATTCCTCAAACAGTAAATACCACTTTTTGAAGTATTGGCACATGTCTCATTGTTAGGTATTTCAATTTTCAATTTTCTTCGTGTTTTTACAATGACCTGCAAGTGTGGACTTCCCCCCTGCCCCATGTTTCTTGGGGAATTTGTGGGACCATATTTCTACTTTTCAAGGAGATATACTTTATACTGTGATAACATTGGTTTGGAATGCCATAATTTTCTGATGTTTAGTTTCTTATCTGGAAACTGCTTATATAATGGACCCACCACCAAAGGCCACTAACTCCCTGTTCTATCCCATCTTGTGACCAGCTTTCACTGGTCAGAATGGAAGATTTTATTTCCCTATATTCCATATGAATAAAATTATGTATTCATCTTTCTCATTTTCTTCGTTTAAAAAAATCCTCTTAAGACTCATCCATTTTTTTCTTATGGTTTCGTGGCATTTCTTTATGCATATATACATACCCCCTTCCTTTTATTTTAATCCAACCTTCATCTTCTTTATCTGGCCACCTGCTGATAGGCACTTAGGTTCTTTCGAAATTTGGTGACTGTGATCAGAACTGCAGAGAACACAGAAGTGCATACATGTTTTTGAATTCCTGCTTTCCTATTCTCTGGATAGTCACATCTGGAACTGCAGCATCACATCTGACAGGTTCCAGTTTTAATTCTGCTCCCACAGTAGTTACACCAATATAGAGTCCTTCCAAGATTGCAGGGTTCCTTTCCTCCTGACTCTAACTTACCAACACTTCCTATTTCCTAACTTTTGGAGATCAGCCATTCAAATCCACATGAGAAAAAATATCAAGTGGTTTTGATATGCATTTCTCTAATAATAAGGGGTTAAAAAAATAAGACTCCTAAAAGCATATTGTGATATTCTACCGAATGTCCTTGTTGGTAATTTAATTTTAGATGAAGTCTGTTCAATAAATGAATGCCATTGTTCCTCTGGAAATCTCATAAGCTAAAAAGATTTTTTAAACAAATATTTCTTCATTTTTCCTTTAATGAAACACTGTGATTTATAATGCTGTCAATAATGGATATATACGTAAATTTTTTTAAAAATCCAGGCAGAGGGGCCAGAGAGATGGTACAGTGGTTAGGGCACTTGCTTTACATGCAGCTGTCTGGGTTCTATCTCAGGCACTACCTTTGGTTTCCTGAGCCCCAGAGATAAGGAATGTGGGTGGTGGCCTGTGGGAATTTCTCTACCCACTTGACCCATTTCTCCTGGGGTGTCCTTAGTCTTGGGCTTCGGCTGTAAAATGGACCGGAGAGGATGCATGGGAAACCCCAGCCTGTAGCACTTCCAGTCATTTTCTGTCTCCAGACAATCTCATGTGGCAGCCTTCCCTTTGAGCACAAAATTTCTGCCTGGACCTAGATTCACATCCATCAGCGCCCAGCACTCCGGATGGGGTTAGCAGGATGCCTACTGCGTGGGAGGGAGGGGGCATGTTGATGCAGCTCCACGGGGACCATCCATGGCCCTGAGGACACACAGACACACACACTGTGCGTTTTTTCCTGCAGTGGCAAGAAACGTGCTGGTGTAGTTTCCCTCTCTCAGTGGGGATCTCCTGTCTATTGGCCGTTGGCAGCGTCACTATCTCCTCAGCGATTCTTCAGCTGTTGCTTTCCAAAGTCCTTTGGCAAAACTCTCTCAGAGATTTGTTTTTCTGGTGTTTCCTAATTTAGAAACAGTCTTCAAAGGTGGGGGCGGGGGATGGAGGTATGGGGAGCCCCTCCCTGGCATAGCAATATGAGAACGCATTAAATTTTGTGTTTCTTCACGGAAAGTTTTGGCGTTCATTTGCACTCGAGAACACTGGACAAGATCGTACAGGGGGGTGAACAGAAAGTATATACGAATTGTTCTTTATTCCCCAGGCAACATGGCGTACACATTCTGCATCTTAGTACAATTGTTTGTAAGTTACGGGAACATAATATCCCAGTGGTGTAGGAAATTCTTAAAGGCACATAATAGGTGATGTGAGTAACAGAAGGGTGAAAAGTGTCAGTGGTGACGTTTACATGGTTACTCCATTGTAATTAGTCTTTCAGTAATAAGCAACTTCTGTGAACCTCTATTCAAAGCGCTGAAGTTTTACCTACCGTGGAATTTGCAGCTGATTTAGAAAGAAATGGAAATGGTTGGAAGGACTTACACAAATCTCCCACCTCAAAAAAGAACCGGAAAGGCATGGTAGAAAAGACTAGAAAGAACAAGTGGAAAGAAACACGCGGAGCGAGGTCAGAGGTTGCAGAGGGAGGAGAGACCCAACGTGTGGCTGCTAGATCCTCATTTGTTCCTGGCTGCCAGGGGCTTCCGGCTGATCTTTTTTGATTTGTCGTTATTTTTCTTCGGCGGCTCAGGGTTTGCCTGCATGTGTCGGCCGTAGAGGCTGCAAAAAGAGAGGAGGACATGGTGAGAGGTGCCTTCGCACATGAGGCCTTCGAGGGCACAGTGGGAATCCCTGGGAAGCTGCAGGGGGGAACCCCAAGGTCGCGTCTGCCTTCTCTGGCTCGTATACTGTCTGCAAGAGTGAATATGCTCATTTTCACATGCATGAGTGCACACACACATGCACACATGCACATGCACGCAGGCACGCACAAGCACACATGCACACACACATGCACACATACAAGCACACAAGCACACGCACACACAAGCACATACATGCATAAGTACACACACATGTGCATACAAGTACTCACACATAAGTACACACATGCACACATGGACACACACACATGCATACACAGGTGCACAAGCATGCACGCATACACACACACACATGCACACATGCACACATGCCACAGAGCCATTCCCTGGGATTCTGGAGGTGTCCTGATGGTGACCCGCCCAGCAAGCTGGGGTATCTGATGCCCACAGGGTGTGGCCAGCTTCTCTGGGCTGAGGGGGAAGGCATCCGAGACAAGATGCAGGTGGTATGTGGGAACCAGAGTGAGCCTGGGGCTGGGCAATGTGACAGAGAGGAATGGGGTCCCGGGGCGCATGGCTGCTCCTGTGTGATGGATGGGCTGTGGCTTGTGCCCCCCCCCCCCCGCCATGTCCTAATAGGGCCGCTGATTAAATGTTGACAAAGTACCTGCCGACTGCAGTGGGGGCACGGGGGGGCGGAACCAAGCTGGTATGTGGGGGGAGGGGGCTGCCAGGGTCCTAAACTGAACAGGGAAGTCATTACTGGATAACTGATGAGTGTGTCTGATGAAACCAAATTAAAAGACCCCCTAAAGGAAAGACAACGGCCCTGCAGCTCCCCCTGAAGCCCCGGGTGCAGGTGTGTGAGCCTCTGCCACATGGGAACCTGGGACCCCCAGAACCAGGGCTGACAGCCACTAGTCCCGCTACTCTCCTCAGCGCCAGGTCTGCTTGGGGGGGCGGTGGAGGGAGGAGTCAGCGCCTGGCCAGCTGAGGGCACACAGCCTGGGTTGGGCTCTGGCTTCTCCAGAGCTTCCCGGGGCCTTGCAGGGTGACCCTGATGGTAGGGACACCAGGACACGGATCTGCAGAACGAGTCCGGAAACTGTCCAGGCGGGGTCCTGTCCAGGGGGTTGGGGGCCATGATGGGCTGCCTGTGGGCCCTCAGGCCCGCTTCCACCTAGGTAGCTGACAGGTGACTACTCCTGGGGTCACATGTCCCTCCGTGGACCCCCAGGATGATCCATAGGGGATGAGGAGTGAAAGCTGTACTAGTGGATCTCAGGGAACAAGCCTAGGGGTCACCTGGTTAGATTGGAAGCGGGGGCAGAAAGGAAACAAGATTGAAGGGTCCCCATGGTAGAGACGCTGGCTCAGAGGTCTTGGGGGCACCGAGAGGAAGGAGGGTGGCCCCCCATGCCCCACGAGGGAAAGGCTCATTCCCGAGAGACCCTGCACTCAGGCCAACCCCCCTAAAACCTTCAGTTGTTTCCACACTCAGAAAGGCCCTGCCTCCCCTCCCCACCCCCCACAAACACACTGTGGCCAAGGGGCACCGGTCGGGGTCAGAACTGGGCAGAGGGAAGCTCAGTGGCTCTGCACCCCACCTCATCGCAGACCACTGGGACTATCTATGGTGGGCGTCGGGCCCTTGAGGGGGTGAGGCAGGGCCCCCCGGAAGGTGATCCTGGAGACTTGGTCTGTGCTCCTGGCCCTCATGGTCCTGGTATTTTTTTGGGGACACTGTATCAGTATGCTGGGAGGAAGGTGCAAGTTGCAGGGTTCCACCCATAGCACCACACACCGCTGGTCCAGGAGACTGCCGGGAGTGACACCCGAGCACAGTTGTGGATGGCCTGGACCGGGCCCCATCAAAGAAACGAGAGCCACAGCAGAATGTCTGTTCCATAGCCCCCCCACCCCCACCCCACCCCACCCAACGTTCCCTCCCTCCCCTTCCACCTCCTGCAGGGCTGGAGCAAACCACAGCTCCGCCCCCTCTGGTCACTGCACCTCCTTCCAGCCCCTGGCATCTTGTCCTGGCTTGTTTTCCCCAGAAGGGCAAATGGGGAGATGCCACATCCTTCCTACCATACCTCCAAGGCTGCTGGTTCCCAAACCCTCCGGCAACCCCGCTGTGGCCTCAGGCACTCCCTCCCTCACCCAGCACCCCCCAGGTACAAGGACTCAGGGAGGAACCAAAGGGAGAAGACAGGAGGCAGAGAGGACAAACAGGACATGCAGTGGAGTGTGTGTGTGTGTGTGGGGGGGGGGAGGCGAGGTGGCCAGGCTGTGACCAATCAGACATGCAGGGCCGGGGCTGGCTGGGCCCTGTGGTCAGCCCGCAAAGTCATTTCAGAAGTGTGGGGTGCAAAAGCTCTCTGTCTGGGACTCGATGAGACGCTGCTCCCGTTTAGGAAACAATTCCAATTTTCCCTGACTTTTTATATGCCGGCCTGCTGGGCTTCCTGGGGCCCCCCTTGCTGTCACTACAAAGGGCCAGACAGAAGCGGGGGTGTCTGGATCACAGCCCTGCCCCTCCTCCTGGCCCACTGAAGGGCAGGACTCTGCGCTGACAGCCACCGAGATTCAATAAAGGTGACTGCTGGACTTCTTTAGGGCGCTTGCCTCGGGGAGACGGGGAGAACATGGGGCTCTCTATCTGTGGAGAACCAACAAGCACCTCTGGAAGGTTTTTCATCTTCTTTGAAGCAAGCAACTATGGCCTGGGTTAAATGCATCGCCCCACTTGCTCGGTGGGTGAATGGTCCACAGAGCTAGGATGAGGACTAGACTCCCCTGCATCCCTCCCCCTCCTCCCTCTTCCTCCTCCTCCTCCTGCTCCTCCTTCTCCCCATCCTCCTCTTCCCTACCCCCCTCCCCTCTCCTTCTTCCTTCTTCGTCCTCCTCGTCCTCATCCTCATCCTCATCTTCCTCTTCCTCCCCACCTCCTCCTCTGGTGTGGGCGGTACCGAGATCCTGTATGGGGGTGCAGCTGGGCACCCGGACACCAACACGCAGCCCCAGGCATACAATTGGGGCTGCATGCCAGACCTCCACCCCCACCGTCTTGACTAGAACATCAAAGGGCCCTGGGTGCCCCTCGTGGGGTGATGTGGTGGACAGAATAACTGTCCCTGCTTGTGTCCACTTCTGTCCAACCCCTACCACAGGAGGTGATGCCCTCCTGTGTCATGAAAGCGATAGGACTGGGAGCCAGAGTTGGAAAGGTGACCCAGGACTGTCACTGTGCCCACAGGGTGTGGGAGGGGGAGAGAGAGAGAGAGAGAGAGAGAGAGAGAGAGAGAGAGAGAGAGAGAGAGAGAGAGAGAGAACAGTGTACTGGAGGACGTGTTGCTGGTGGCGACAGGCAGTCCCGGGCAGCCAAGACCTGTGGGGAAATTGCTAGGAGCTGGCCTGGCCAGGGAACGCAGTGTTCCCTGGAGCCTCCAGAGGTAGCTGGCCCTGCTGGCCAGTCACAGTGCCCTCGGCAGTAGTCAGAGGGAACTGATCCAGGCAGGGAGTCTCTCCTGGGCCAGCTGGGCAGCCTGGCAGAGGCTGACTGCACCTGGGAAGGAAGGAGATCACCAGAGCGGCAGCTGGGGGAAGAGGGTAAGAGGGATTTCAGAAGGGACACTGTGGGTCCCTATGGAATAAAGCTGCAGAGACACCAGAAGACGTGGACACGAGCTGGCTGGGCACCCGCTGCCACCAACAGGTGGGGGTGGGACCAGGTCAGGGCTCATGGCCTGCATTTTCAATGCATCTGGGATGAGACCTGGGAGGGGAGCGAGGTCACCCCAGAACCGAGTTTGACTGAAGTCATCACTCCTGCACAAATTCTTCTCCTGGGACTCGCGAGGCAGCAAAATGTGAAGCAAAACTGAGTGTGTCAAACCCGGAGAAGGTGGCAGTCCCCACCGGCACCTCGGTCAACCCATGTGGCTTTCTGTTTCAGGAGCCGATGGCTCCGTCTTTCACCCATCCTCTCCTTCTCTCAACTGACCTATGCCACTACTGCTGGGCATGATTCCTGGTCTCCTCTTCCTCACCCAGATCCCCTCCTTCCTCCTACACAGAACCACGAGATAGTCTCTCCTGGGATCCCACAAGGGATGGACGGCCCATGGCCCAGTGGGTCCCGCAGGCAGACAGGGATGTGGCACTGGGCCATGTAATGCGACTCGTCCAACTTTACCGTTGTCACTCTCAGTGCTGGAATGGGAAGCTGGGCGAGGCTGGGCTGGCGGGGGGCAATGGGGGGAGAGGTGAGAGTGAAGCTCTCCCCAGCAGCCCCTGACCCCAGTGAGAGAACAGGACCCCTAGCACCGTTCCCCTCGCAGGTGCTCTGACAGTCAGACGGGCCTGGGCTCATATAAGTTCTCTAGGATGTGTAAATACATACATACATACATATATACAAGTATATCTACATACACATTTTTTCCATTTTTTTGGTAAAGCACTACATTTTGTATCTGGAGCCCTGAGGAGACTCCCCTTCCTCCCCCACATTCCATCCAGGCCCTGGCATTCTGTGGAGCTGAGTGACTGCCGCCTGCAATGCTGCAATAATATAAAATTTATTATATTACATATATAATATTTTATTTATATGATTTTTATAAAATGCATCCGATTTTATATTTATATTAAAATTCTTTTCAAGTCGCATCGGGCTGGGCTCAGGGGCTGTTTGTTCATCGTGGTGCTGGCGGGGGCAAGGGGGGAAGGTGGCCACCATGTGGGTCTAATGCCAGGGTCTAATGCTGGCCGCCCTCCTGCCAAGCCTGCGTCAGTCCTTGGCAACCACTTCCTGTCTTCCCCAGGCTTTTTGGCAGCTTTCTCCTTCCGTCCATGCCTGATTTCTGCCTTCACAAACCACACCGGGGTATTTCTAGATTTCTCACGTGGTCCTTGGTGAGAATGTGAGTATTGCTCTGGGCTCTGTCTCTG